TAGAACAAAACTATCACAGGGAATTCCCTGGTGGGCCAGTGGTTAGGACTCCGTGCTTTCACTGCCGAGGGTGCGGGTTCAATCTCTGGTGGGGGAACTAAGATCCCGCAAGCCTTGCAGCATTTCCAAAAAAAAAAAAAGCAGAAGAAGAAGAAAAAGAAAACTACCACAAATAATGAGAATCAACTGTAATAATATTGGGACAATGAAGGGATGGAAGAACATGTGTGTCTGTGTATGTATGAGGGTGGGTATGTACACACCATGCACAGGGACAGCAAGAGAGTGAGGACAGGGGGGTAAAGGGATGCCAAATCCTCATCTTCCATGGAGTGAGATGACAGATCAAGTCTCAAAGTGAAAAAATGCAGATTTGTCACATAAGCCATTTAGAGACGCGGAGGTGAAGTCCAAAAGATTCAAAGGAGAGGTAAGAATCACTCCTGGAAGGGAAGGGGAAATGTGGGTAGAGGGTGGGGCTGGCAGCTGCCACTTGAGGTAGAAGGCTAGAATCTTTCATCTCGAAGCCTGCATGACTTTAATAAAAGCAAACATTTCAGGTGAAAGTGGAGAGAAGAAAGAAAGCAGGAGGTGAAGAATATGACGGAGAATGTGCGGCCATTTGTGAGCACCAAGAACAAGAAGAGGTCTACAAATATTTCTTGGGAAAGAGACACAAGATGCCTCTGAGGAGGGGAACTGCAGGGCTGGGGGCAATGGAGAGAGGGCAGCATTCACAGCAAACCTCTCTCTAACATTTGAATTTTGTACCTGGGTTATGTATTAACTGTTACCAAAAAATAACTGAAAATGTAAAATGTTAAAAGTTAGCTGTTTTTATACATCCACCTCCCTGGTCAGATCCTGGTATCTCAACCATTCAACAAATAAATAGAGTTGCTACGGTGAGCAGCCTCAGCATTTACTGAGCTAACCTTACGGCCACCCTCCAAAGTAGGGTTCTAAAATCCCCATGTCAGATGGTGGATGAGCTGGGAGCTCAGGGAGGTGAATTACACACCCAAGGTCACACAGCAAGTAGAGGACAGAACAACACAGACCAGGCCCCCTGGCAGGGTCCCTCTGTTCCTCCTCAGGCCTGCCCCCAAACAGTCACCATGTACCACGTGACAGAACAAGTGCCCGTGATGCACACAACAGGTGCTCAATTCATGTTTTCTTAAAGAAGAGAGAATGCACAAGGTGTACTCTTAGAGATGAAGGAACTAAGACTCAGAGGGTGATCTTTCATGGGCTAGCAAGGCGCAGAGTGAGGGCCACAGCTAGATGCTCTGGCTCTAGCCACCAAGCACCTAATCTCTGAGGTACCCACTGCTGGGTGAAGGCGATCAGCACCAACAAGTCTGAGTGCCTATTATGTGCCCAGCTCTCCTCTAAGAGCTTCAGTGAAGCACCCCAAGAACCCCATGAAGGGGGGCTAGTTGTTACAGCCATGGGGAGAGGGCCGTCAGCAAGGGTAGGAAGCACAGGAAGCAGCTCCCACAGGGGTGCTCCCTATCCACAGACAGCACAGCAGAGACTGAGGCTGCAGTGGCTCGTGCTCAGGTTACTCAAGCAATCACAATGGGGCCCAGTCTTCACGGCCTGTCCCTCCCGCCCTTGCCCCCAGCCTCTCTGGAGCACACCCACACGGGTGGGCAGTGGACTTCAGCACTGGGCTCCAGCCACATGTCTGGGCCACCCTGCCTGGCAGCAGCACAAGCCACCCCCACCCAGGGGACAAAGAGGCCACTGTCCACCTTTGGTCCCTTCCTGAGGCCTTTTCTTGCCCCACTGCTCCTTCTGCCCCTTCCTGCTTTCACCCTGAGCTCTAGGACACCGGGGCAGGAAGAAATAAACACAGATTATTGTGATCAGATTTCATGAGGAAAATAGAAGACGAGTTAGAAGAACTGAGGCTGTGTGCTTAAATATTTCTGAACCTAGGTTCTAAATGCAGCCAGCCTGCACCACCACCCCAGCACAACACAGCAGCTAAGAACACATACTCTGGAGTCCTGCCGCTCCTCAGCTCTGTGTTCTTGGGCAAATGACCTCCCCTCTCAGTGCTTTGGTTCACCAACCACAAAATGGGATTAGTAAGCATTCCTTCCTTACAGGACTGTGAGAACACTAGAACAAAACCTGGTACAGAGGTGGGTGGGTGTTACATAAGCTGCATTAGTTAGCTATCGCTGTGTAACAAATTGCAACCAAAATTACTAGCTGAAAAGAGCAAACACTGATAATCTCACAGTTTCTGTGGGTCACAAATCCAGGAGCAGCTTAGCTGGGTGGTTCTGGCTCAGGGTGTCTTGTGAGGCTGTAATCAAGGTGTCAGCAGGGGCTGTGATCATCTCAAGGTTTCACTGGGAGAGAATCCATTTCCAAGTTCACTCATGTGAGACTCTCCACAGAGCTGCCTTACATGACAGCTGGCTTCCCCCAGAGGGAGTGACCCATGAGAGAGAACCCAAGATGGAAGCCACAGTCCTTTTTATTACCTAATCTCAGAAGTAATATCCCATTGCTTTTGCTGTATTCTGTTCATTAGAAGTGAGTCACTAGGTCCAGCCCACACTCAAAGGGAAGGGATCATACAAAGGTGGGAAGACTGGGAGGTGGGGCCATCTTCCAGGCTGCCTCCTACAGAAAGTGTGTCAAGCTCTGTGTTGGGGACTCTGAGTGGACCCAGCTTCTGTCCTTTTCCCGGGGAGACAGAGCTGGTCACAGATATCCCCTTCCTTGGGCATGAAGGAGTGAAGACCTGCCATCCAAAAAAGGAAGGAGTGAAGACCTGCCATCCAAAAAATATATCCTGCGCTCCTGTTGTGTGCCGCCCTGACGGGAGACCAGGGCCACAGGAGCACAAAGTCCAACACAGTCTCCATCTGTGCTGGCCCCCCAACAGGGCCTACAGTTTAGTGGGGGGAAAGAGACCCCAAAATTAAAAAGCAAGAAAGCAGACACATATGATAATTACAAGTGACTGATGCCACTAGTGGTTACAAGTCAAGCCCTGGAGCCACACTGCCTGGGTTCAAATCCTGCCCCCACTACTGGCCAGCTGTGTGACCTTGGGCAAGTGACAAAACTATGCTGTGCCTCAGTCTGCTCATCTGTAAGATGGGACAAGAGAGTACCCACCTCTCAGGGTGGTTGGGAGGACTTGAAGAAGTCATGCTTAGCATAGTGCCTCCCACAGAGGAAGCCCTGTGTAAATCTTGGCCATTCTGCAAGAGAGCAACAAGGTGGGAGGGTCTACAGAGACATAGGGTCAGGGGAGAGCTGTCTGACAAGGTGACATTTAAGCCATGGCATGATGAAAATGAAGAGCAGGGGAAGAGTGATCTGGGCAGAGGGTATAGCAAATGCAAAGGCCCTGGGGCTGGAATAAATACGAGTGTGTTTAGGAACAGCAAGGAGGCCAGTGTAGCTGGAAGAGTGACAAAGGAAAGGACAGGAGGTTGGGAACATGGTCAGAAACCTCATGTGGTCTAGATTCTAAGAGCAACAAGGAGCCATGGGAGGGTGCTGAGCAGGAAAATTCAGCAAAGGGTGCCCTGAGGGAGGCAACATCATAAGGCGTTGCCAGGCAAAAGGAGGGCCAGTGTATTCCAGACAGAGGAAAGCAGCCTGAGCCTGACAAGGCAAGTTGATCTGGGGGCCAGATAAACCTATGGAGAGGTGGGGAGTGGCAAGTGGGCAGGGAATAGATTGTCAGGACCTCAAGTACCCAGCTGGAGGCTGAGTCTTTTCTACTGCAGAGGATGGAGGTTGTGGAGGGTGTCTGAACAGAGAGCACAGTCCAATCTGCATGTCAGAAAACCAAGGAGAGGGGCAGGGGCCAGGGTGTGGAAAAGAAAGGTCAGGTTCTAGAAGGTTCAGAACCAGTCAATTTGCAGTGGAAGTTTTTCCAGCTGCACACCATCCCTGCTGCTCACAGAGCCTCAGTTTCTTCACCCTTACAATGGGTTAGTCCTCCCACCTCCCCATGGGCACCAAGACTGGCAGACCCATAGCAAGTGCTCAGGGAGTTCCACATGGAGGCTGTTCCTGAGATTTGCTCCGGGGATAATGCGCAGAAGCACTGATTTCACCCCAGGAGGACTCCCAACAGCTTCTCTGAGCAGGCCCCTAGAGATACCCCAGAGACCTTCCAAGGATGCCTGCAAACACCACCAGAATCCCCTCCCCAGAGATTCTCAGTCACCAGAGACCCCTAAGCAAATCTTGGAATACACAGCAACCTCTCCACAGACTCTGAACAACCCCCAAGGTCACGCACAGACCTCAAACTCTCAAAGAGCACCCCGACCACAGAGAGACCTGTAAATGGCCCTGAGGAGACAAACACCCTTCAAAGGCTCTAAAAGCCCTTTACACGTGTCCCAGGAAGCCCTTTCATTCTCCCTGAGAAAGTCCCCCTGAGAACTCCTGGGGACCTACCGGAGTCCCTGAAGACGCCCCAGAGCCCTCCCACAGTGACCAAAGCCCCATAGAGACGCCCCCCAAACACGCACGGCCTCCCAATCAGCCTCAGCTCTCTGGAAGTCCTACTCGCTGCCCTAGTACCCCCAAGTTGCCGTCCAGAGCCCTGAGGTCACCCACGCAGGCTCAAGGACACTGAAATCTACTCATCTCCCTCCAGGGAATCCCTCAAGATGTCCCCTGCTGGTGCCCTCAGAGTCCCCCAACCCCCTCTTTCCAGGTCCCAGCCCCGCCCACAGCCCCGCCCTC